AGGAAGTGCTAGTCTACACCGACCGCAAGAACCTTAGGTACTTTACGATTACGAAAGTACTTAATGGATGGCAGACGCGATGGGCAGAGTTCTTGGCGGAGTTCAACTTTCAAATTGACTACAAGAAAGAATCAGGGAATGCCCGAGCAGACGCGTTAAGCCGCAGGGCAGATCATGTGAAAGATACAGCAGAAGCCTTCGCACCCTTGTTCCAGAAACAGCCAGATGGAACGCTTACGCACCCTCTACAAGAATGGGTAGAATGTTGCGCCATCTACAGGGCTAAGGACCAAGCCCTCAGGCGACAGGCTACTATCGCCACCCCTGAAGACAGGCAGCGATGGGAGAACAGCCAGGACGAAGGAGTCACCCTCCAAAGTGACCGACTATGGTACCACGACAAGGCCTATGTGTGGCCAGAACAGAGAGAAAACCTCATCGTGGACGTCCATGCTTCCAAGATAGGAGGGCACATGGGCATCGCCAAGACCATAGCCAGGATACGGCAACACTACGACTTCCCAAGAATGAAAGCCGAAGTAGCTCGAACATTGCAGGCCTGTGAACGCTGTAGCAGGACCAGGGTTGCAAGACACAAGCCATACGGGTTTTTTGAACCCTTAGAGGTCGCAGAAAGGCCGTGGAGTTCGGTAACTATGGACTTTATTACCAAGTTACCGCCGTCCGCAGACACTGCCACAGGAATCCGATACGACAGCATCCTGGTAGTGGTGGACAGGCTGACCAAGTACTTACTTCTTACCATATAAGGAAACATGGTCAGCAGCGCAGCTTGCGGATGTGGTTCATCGGAACGTTACTTCGGTACACGGATGGCCGAAGGAGTGGATTACGGACAGAGATACCAAGTTCGCCTCCAAGTTTTGGCAAGCCTTAATGGCCAAGCTCGGTACCAAGAGCAAGCTGTCAACCGCTTACCACCCCCAAACGGATGGATAAACGGAACGGATCAACCAGATCGTGGAACACTACTTAAGGAACTATGTCAACTTCAAGCAAGCAACTGGGTAGAACCATTACCTACTGCGCAAATGGCATACAATACCTCGCCAACAGAAACCACGAAGGTGACACCTTTCTTCGCGAACTACGGATACGAGATGGAACAATTGGAAGGACCCGATTCAAATGTTCCCAGAGCCTCAGTTAAAGCCCAAAAACTGCATATGCTGCACGAAAAACTGAAGCACGAACTCGAGTTCGTACGTCAGAAGATGAGCCGGTACTACAACCTAAAAAGGCTCGAGGGACCTCGCTTTAAGGAGGGGGATAAAGTCCTTTTATCCACCAGAAACCTAAGCACAAAGGGACCCAGTAAGAAACTGGACGACCGACGAGCGGGACCTTTTAAGATCAAAAAGAAAATCTTAGATGCGGTATTCCAATTGGACATTCCCGACGCTATGAAACTAAGATCACAATCATTTCACGTATCGCTACTGGAACCGGCATCAAGAAACGCTAGAATCAACACTAGTGTCAGCATCAAGGACAAGGAAGAAGAATGGGACGTGGAGCAAATTTTAGATTCAAAAATCGAGGAAGGAGAGCTGGAGTACCTCATCAAGTGGGAAGGATTCGGTCCCAAAAACAACACATGGGAACCCGTCACGAATTTGAGTTGCCCTGAGAAGTTGGAGGAATTCCACCGGAGGAACCCGGATTGCCCAGGGGCGCAGGAGTACCTAGCCAAGCAGTAGGGTAATCGTACACGTCGAGGGACGACCAATCGAATGAAGGCACGGAAGCATTAGGCGCGCCAGCCGCTTGCCTTTGGGGCAGCGTCTGGGCCTGCTCCTCCACACGCTCCTCGGCCTCCAACGCCTCCAACTCCGCCATACTGCGCTCTGTGAGCTCACGACTCTTCGCCGACAGCCGTTCTTGCTCTTGTTTCAATTGATCCAACTTGGCTGACTGAGTTTTGAGCGATTGCGTCAGTTCATGAATACTCTGTGTCAACTCTTGAACACACTTCAGAGCCTCCGACTCTGTTTCAGACACACGAGCCCTTTCTTCAAGGACGATTGCCACTACTGAGGATCAGCGACGGCGCAATTAAAAATGCCAGGAGGAGACTAACGTTCTATATCAGTGACCATACTTACACAAGGACGAGCGTGACGAACGCAACCTCCGCACTTTCCTGCGTCAGGAAGGCGCTTGCACATCAAAGAACGTTGAAAACAACGTTGGTAGGGATCACTAGGAAGACCAAACCGCTCGATACGGGTCAGCAAGGACTGTCGTTTCAAAGCAGCCTTGGAAGGGCGTTTCTCAATGCGAGACAACATGACGACGGACCGGAGAAGGGGAATAGGACAGGAAAGGACTTACAATATCTAGGACAACGTTGGGGGTCAGTGGAGAATAAGAATCTAGCAAGAACATGCAATGAACCCAGTAGCCGTCGAGGACGTTGGCTAGGGAGGGGAAGCATCGTGTTACGAACTTATGAGGACACACGGGCCAACCACAAGGCTGGTAGCATAGACAGCCCAATAAGGCTAGACTGCGTAACGCCAGGACAGGGAAGAGCTCACAGGACAACAAGGCTCGCGCTAATCAGAGTGAGCCCGCAAAACCCAGCACCAAGCACTAGGGGTTCACGGTTGCGTGAACATCCGGAAACAGATATCTCGCAGAGGGCGAGCAGGTATAAAGGAACGACTGGAGAACTCAGATTCTCAGATAGTTCGACAGTAGTCAACAGACATTCAGACCATTGTCACCATTGAGACCAGTACGCAAGCATACTTTGTTATGAACCCTTTGGCTTCACCGAACGACTCTGATAGTTATTACCTTCAGCTATCTCATTTAGGCAGATCAGACTGCCGTTCGTCACATATATGCGTTATGAAATTAAATAAAGAAAGCGGTCAAGAGTGGAAAAATCTAGGCACCTACTTAACGGTACACCGCCGGCCTACATTCTAATCACTTATCCTTTCTTTCCTTAACTTTAGCTATGTTATCGTTTTATACACACTCGTGGTGCTTCTGTTAAACGCCTCCATATTACATTCTAACAAAACTAAGCTGTACCTTATGTTCTACTTGGGGCTTATGCACTTATAGTTGCGTTCTACCTCTGTACAAATAGTATTTCCCTGAATTAAATTCAGAAAGTGCTTAAGGGTAGTAGAATCTAAACCTAGTTAACAATTTTTACCCGATCCAAAGTCTAACCTCTTTCACTCTTTCTTTTAGCTTAAATTAATTTATAGTATTGTACACATTTAGGGTGCTTCGGTTAAATGCCCCCGTGTTGCATTCTGTTAATCATTTTCCAAATATATTAAATTTATAGCGGTATTAACTCCGGACGCCGAAGTTGTTGGAGTTTAATGAAGTAAGAACGCTAGTATGCGTTCTGCGCTAGCGGAGTAATAATGGATAAATTAACCTCCTATAGCGCAGATTTGGATTATAATATATTAGTTCAAGCTTACGCGGGTATGATAGCAACGACTCTTATGATTGTTTGTCGGAGGGCTGGAAAAGACGACAACAAAAAGGGCTTGATTGTTGTTGTTTTGCGAAAGAGGAGAAACGGAAACCAGGGCAGCCTAAATACCTGGAAGGGAGTGCCCAGGGCACGGACTTCCAACATTGTTACTACCCACACCTATTTCTCCGCTCGTCTTTTTCTATTTTCCAGCTTAGTATATACAGATTTCCAAACGGTTAATATGCTGCGAGGGCTTTAGAGCACACTACCAAGGTTAGTGAATTCCTGATAGTAGGTTCACGGGATTGTAATGCAGAAACCGTTAATTTGTCGTAGATTCACAACGGAAGTTCTTCCAGGGTCTGGTAGCTACATAGAGTTGGTATGACCTATGAGCCTCATGCTGTGATCAGAGCTATGCTAATATCTGGCTTGAACAATAGTCAATCGCCTGCTCTGAATGGTTACAAGGCTAACCCTGTGATTGTGTATCCAAAAGCTGGTGCGTGCCTATCAAATGCCGCCCTATAGCATCTAGCAATGAGCGAGGCTGACAAAAACAGCCCATGCTCCTTCCGGATCATCTGAAGTAGTAAAAACCACCTCCCCAGAAACATACTTATCCCCCGGACTGCACTGGTCCAAGATCATCTGTGCCCCGTCGGCTATTTGCCCATAACTGTTAAGATCGATTCGGTAATTAGGGTACTAAAAGATGACAAGGTCACGTTTGATTAGCACGTGGGTGACCACAATTTGGCTTAAGGCAGATACACAGAGAGAGAAACAAGTTTCTTGTGAATAGAAAAAGTTCCCTGTGAATGAAAGAGGGGACAAGAAGATTTTTTTCGTGGAAAAAACGGCAGTCGTACGTACCACATTAGTCCAGTGTATGTCACTATTGTGAGAGCAACTGACTCGTTCAAAGTCAATGGGACCCAGGGATGGGGAACCGGTTACTCTGTTTCTCAAAAATTCAATCCCCTCTGCGATTCTCCTCCTCTGGACGGGATAGCCATCGGCATTGCATATGATTTTCATGTCCCAACGGTCGCTAAGAGATTTTGGAACTAGTTCCTTAGATCGAGGCTAGTTGAACGAAGGCTCGTTTGATGGAGTAATCCCTGGTACGCTTTGCGGTAAACATTGAGTATTGCTGATCAACTGCGAAACGAAGGTTAGACGGATACTCAACAGATTGATGAGATAAGGACGGTTACCTACCTGGAGGATAGCGAGCGAAATTGAGTAGGCGATCTTGGAGAGACGCATGGTGGCTATGGTTGCTAAGTGTCGACCTTTGGGTATGTTTAGGGAAGTGCGGTTGACGATCTTGGAATGTATCTAAGAAGATCGGATGTTCCTACTTAGGTAGAAAGAATGCACATGAAGTTTGATAGGAGAGAGGCTGAATTTTGATATGCTTGTCAATACCTACGGGGTGTTGTATGGTAAATGACTACATTGATGTTGGAAGAAGGAAGAAAAGCAGAACTAAAGAAAAGGCACAGAGACTTCTGCTTTTACAAGTAAATGTTTTGAGGAAATGTGTTTAGACTAATTATGCAGCGTAGATATTTGTTCATGCATGCATGCACTCAATATCCAACAGCGCCTCGGACATAATTGATTTCGCTCTTCTATTCCATATACGATCTGATTATGCAATGGATACTACAGAAACTCGCGAAACTGCCAAAAGTTCTTCTCAATTTCACGCCGGCATATATGCAGGAAGTTGGCAGGATCAGGCTGGTCACTGTGCCTTCGGATGTGTGCAAGTTAGTATGGAGGTTAATGTCCTTCGGTTTTTAGTAACTAGATGAATACATTTGCTGATGTATACGTGCGTATGGGGCTGATTTCTGGCAGACCTCTGCTAGGTTTCTGCTATATGCCGGCGTTGAAAAGGGAAAGGCGTTTTGTCAATTTTTGTGACGAACGGAGTCTGATCTGCCTAAATGAGATAGCTGAAGGTAGTAACTATCAGTGCTGTTCGGTGAAGCCAAAAGGTTCACAACAAGTATGTTCGTAATACTGGTCTCGGTGATAATGATCTATTGACTACTGTCAAACTATCTGACAATCTGACTTTTCCCGTAGTCCCTTTATACCTGCTCGCCCTCTGCGAGATATCTGTTTCCGGATGCTCTGCTGAACCCCATAGGTCTATCTAATGAGTGTTGGCTCACTGAGAGGCTTGCTCACTGTGAGCCACTGCGCCTGTGAGCGCCTGCATGTGCCATTGGATCCCATGTCGTCCCTGATAGGCTGTGTTGTTTGTCCGAGATGGGGCAGCCAGGTCCCAATGGTCTGGCCGTCCTTTGTGTCACTTAAGTTCGTAACAATTTTGTGGATTCCGAGAGCGTTGAGTTTTGTTTATACATGCGGAAAATATTCAACAATGCCCCGGACACAGCTGGCCTTATTAACCCATTTAGGCTGGTAATTACTCATCTTGACAGGCTAAGGACAATGTTCGGGATAGACTTTATAATATGGCCATCTGCTCCCTTGCCGCTTCAAAGCTCAATTGCATAGCGTGTAGTGTATAGTGCCTAGTACTAGTTAAATCAAGCTGTCAATATACTTGAAATAAAATGTCCCTTGTGGTGTAGCGTATGTATCTGGTACTTTTGCACAACTTATTTTAGATTTGTGAACTTTCTTATAATTTTCATAAAAATAAAAAAGACGTAGACCTTGTTGTTGTATTCCAGCTACTAATAGTTTTCCAAGCAATTTGATTTTATTTTCGTCTGTCCTAAAATAAAACCTAGTCCCAGATTTGTGCTACCTTCTTCTTAACGAGTAGAGAGGGTTGAAAAAATGTCCTATACTGCACTACAGCTGTTAAGTACTACTTGTTACATACGTGAAGCTTGTAATAGCAGTATATATATAAATAATTCATTATTAAAAATAACCCAAATCTTAACACACTTACTAATTCCGTACACTACTTCTTCCCTAACTAAGCCACTTATATAGCCCTATTATCCGAGTACACCCACCCGTAGCACTAGTAGATTTTCTCAATTCGCTTAATAGAAACTTAATTCTAACGGATTTTCAATAACGGCCTCATGGCGCAACGGTAGCGCGTTCGACTCCAGATCGAAAGGTTATCCGTTCAAATCGGGTTGGGGTCATTTTCATTTTTTTTTCATTTCACGCAATTGCGCCTACGCAGTGGATATCGGAAATTCAAGCAAATTTTTTTGAGGTTCCGCACATCGAGGTCCATTCGTGGTCGGACTGGGGCTGGTAGTGGGAATCCCGGTATTGTAGCGGACCGTTTTGCTGTTCACGTCCGGACGCTCTCCTCCTCTACCGCTAATTCTCATTCGATTTGGATTCCTCTTAGCGGGCCGCCATACCCGATCTGGGTCTTCAAGCGAGTGTCTCGCGCTCAGAGGGTTACAGTGGGCGTGCAGATGGGGGCCACTCTTTACCCCTAGAAGTTTAGCCTCCCCATATAAGGTATCCAAATCGAATCAAAATTAGCGGTACCAGCCATAGGTCCTGCGCTGAGGTCACGTCCCTCGGGTGTGGGTGGTCCTGTCCATTTCTTTTGCTTCGATACTCGTTTCTGCACTTGATCCGTGGCACCTCGTTTCAGGTGCGGCACGTGTTAGTTAAGCTCCAGATTCGCTTGACGTTTGGGTTGATGACATCATTTTATCAACCATGTTATGAGAACCAAAAGCCCAGGCCACGAGACAAATTGCCAGACTGGGTTTATAACCCATAAGTTATGTGTCGTAACTGAATGGCTCTGCTGATGCGCAACTGTTCGGGGCTGATATTCGTCGACAACCAGTCAGAGTGCTTATCCGCCGGCAATACGTAGTTCTCAAGTCCTCTTTCCCCATTTCTTCATCCAAACGGTTACCAACCACTTGCTAATATTTGACAGCTGGACACAAAACGAACCTGAAGCAAGCTGGAAACCCAAAGGTTGCTTACACTCCTGCATGAAAGAA